CCAGTGGCTCACGCCTGTAATCCCAGCCCTTTTGGAGGCCAAAGCAAGCCAGTGGATCACAAGGTCAGGATCATCCTGGTCAACAAGGTGAAACCCCATCTCTACTAAAAATACAAAAAAATTAGCTGGTCATGGTGGTGCGAGCCTGTAGTCCCAGCTACTCCGGAGGCTGAGGCAGGAGAACTGCTTGAACCCAGGAGGTGGAGACTGCAGTGAACCGAGATTGCCCCACTGCACTACAGCCTGGATGACAGGACAACACTCTGATTCAAAAAAAAATGAACCCAGGAGGTGGAGACTGCAGTGAACCGAGATTGCCCCACTGCACTACAGCCTGGATGACAGGACAACACTCTGATTCAAAAAAAAAAAAAGAGAGAGAGAGACAGAATAAAGATGCAGGAAGTTAATTGAGTTGCCTGTGGTCTTACAACTAGTAATTAACAAATCAGGCTTCAAAGCTGGCTCTGACTCCTAAACCCGCCTTCCACAGCACTATGTAGAGGCAAAGAGATTTTAGCTATTCCAGTGTCTGCCACCCCACTCCTGCCTCCCAACTATGCTTAGAATAGCCTTTCTCAAATTCTACTTTGGACTCCTTGCTATTTCCTAAAAACTGCTCAGAGGGGAACCTCACCACCTATCAACACGTTTAAGGAAAGTACCAAATGTCTTTCAGGAAACTTCCCAAACATTCTACTTTGGACTCCTTGCTATTTCCTAAAAACTGCTCAGAGGGGAACCTCTTTTTTTCTTTTTTTTTTTGAGACAGAGTTTCGCTCTTGTTACCCAGGCTGGAGTGCAATGGCGCGATCTCGGCTCACCGCAACCTCCGCCTCCTGGGTTCAGGCAATTCTCCTGCCTCAGCCTCCTGAGTAGCTGGGATTACAGGCACGCACCACCACGCCCAGCTAGTTTTTTGTATTTTTAGTAGAGACGGGGTTTCACCATGTTGACCAAGATGGTCTCGATCTCTCGACCTCGTGATCCACCCGCCTTGGCCTCCCAAAGTGCTGGGATTACAGGCTTCAGCCACCGCGCCCGGCCATTCAGAGGGGAACCTCACCACCTATCAACACGTTTAAGGAAAGTACCAAATGTCTTTCAGGAAACTTCCCAAACATTAATGAATCATTTGCATCCTGCTTCACGGTTTACTAGTTCTGATACCGTCCCCCTTGGAATTTTATTTTATTTTATTGAGACAGAGTCTCACTCTGTTGCTCAGGCTGAAGTGCAGTTCTCAGCTCACTACAACTTCTGCTTCCCAGGTTCAAGCGATTCTCCTGCCTCAGCCTCCCAAGCAGTTGGGATTACAGGCGCCTGCCACCATGCCCAGCTAATTTTTGTATTTTTAGTAGAGACGAGTTTTCACCATGTTGCCCAGGCTGGTCTCAAACTCCTGACCTCAAGTGATCCACCTGCCTTGGCCTTCCACAGGGTTGGGATTACAAGCATGAGCCACCGCACCAGGCCTCAACTTTGGAATTTTATTAATTTCATTAATTAGTTATTTATTGAGATCGAGTCTCACTCTGTCACCCAGGTTAGAGGGCAGTGGCGAAATCTCAGCTCACTGAAACCTCTGCCTCCCGGGTTTAAGCAATTCTGCCCCAGCCTCCCGAGCAGCTGGGATTATCCCCCTCAGATTTTTGTTGTTGTTGTTATTAGAGTCTTGCTCTGTCATCCAGGCTGGAGTGCAGTGGCGCAATCTTGGCTCACTGAAACCTCTTCCTTCAGGGTTCAAGTGATTCTCCTGCTTCAGCTTCCTGAGTAGCTGGGATTACAGGCGTGCACCACCATGCCTGGCTAATTTGGTATTTTTAGTAGAGACAGGTTTTCACCATGTTGGCCAGGCTGAACTCCTGACCTCAGATGATCCACCCACCTCCGCCTCCCAAAGTGCTGGGATTACAGTCACGAACACCACATCTGGCCCCCCTCAGAATTTTATTTGACCCTCACCACTCTGTAAGGTTTCTGGACAGGGACTAATCTTAGCTTACAGAGAAACTGAAGCATAAACTGATGAGGTACTGGTGTTGCCTAAATAGCAGTGATCAAGGCATTTAAACTAGTTGGTTCTCAATTTCCCAAATTTTCCATAAAAAAAGGGAGAGGGCATTGAAATGATAATCATTAAAGTCTATCTGGGAACAAACTTCAGGGAGATGGGTTTGTCATTGGGTAAAACCTCAAAAATGAAAGGAAAATTTTGGTGTACTTTAAAACGTTTTTCTTGCTCTTTTAAAATTCGATTTGTTTTCCTTGTAGTTTTGGGATATAGCTGAGCAGATAACTCCATTTAACTTCCTTAGGTCCTTCCATGATCATTTATTAATTCAAACCACTAAACCTAACACAGGCAGAAGAAAAGATTCTGAGAAATTTCCTTTTTTTTTTTTTGAGACAGAGTTTCACTCTTGTTGCCCAGTCTGGAGTGCAATGGTGTGATCTTGGCTCACAGAAACCTCCGCCTAACAGGTTCAAGCACTTCTCCTGACTCAGCCTCCTGCGTAGCTGGCATTACAGGCATGTGCAAACCACATCTGGCTAATTTTTTTTTCTTTTTTTTCTTTTTTTTGAGACAGAGTCTTCCTCTGTCACCCAGGCTAAAGTGCAGTGGTGCAATCTCGGCTCACTGCAACCTCCGTCTCCCTGGTTCAAGCGATTCTGCCTCAGGTTCCCAAGTAGCTAGGGCTACAGGCGCCTGCCACCACGCCCAGCTAATTTTTGTATTTTTAGTAGAGACAGGGTTTCACCACATTGGCCAGGCTGGTCTCGAACGCCTGACCTTGTGATCCACCTGCCTCGGCCTCCCAAAGTGCTGAAATTACAGGCATCAGCCACCCACACCAGGACAAGGAGAAACTTCTTTTTTTTTTTTTTTTTTTTTGAGACGGACTTTCGCTCTTGTCACCCAGGCTGGAGTGCCATGGCATGATCTCGGCTCACTGCAACCTCCGCCTCCTGAGTTCAGGCAATTCTCCTGCCTCAGCCTCCTGAGTAGCTGGGATTACAGGCACGCGCCACCATGTCCAGCTAATTTTTTGTATTTTTAGTAGAGACGGGGTTTCACCATGTTGATCAGGATGGTGTCGATCTCTTGACCTCGTGATCCACCCGTCTCGGCCTCCCAAAGTGCTGGGATTACAGGCTTGAGCCACCGCACCCGGCCAAGGAGAAACTTCTTTAATAACGGCTTTGTTAGTTGAGCTGAGTTGAATGTAAAGTAGTTACTTAAATAGCACACAAAAAAATCATTCTGGTTTCAATAAATGTGAAGATTATAATTTGGACAAGGAAAAAAGTGAAAGTTACTTGTGCTCTCTAAAGTTTTCCCAGCAAAGAAATAAGAATACAACAGAGGATACACACTTAAAATATAGCTCCTTAAGAGAACGTTTATGGGAGGCTGGGCGCAGTGGCTCACGCCTATAATCACAGCACTCTGGGAGGCCGACCATCCTGGTCAACATGGTGAAACCCCGTCTCTACTAAAAATACAAAAATTAGCTGGGCATGGTGGTGCACACCTGTAATCCCAGCTACTAGGGAGGCTGAGGCAGGAGAATTGCTTGAACCCAGGAGGCGGAGGTTGCGGTAAGCTGAAGTTGAGCCATTGCACGCCAGCCTGGGTAACAAGCGAAACTCTTGTCTCAAAAAAAAAAAAAAAAAAAAAAAGAGAATGTTTATGTATTTTGATTCATAATTGTCTCCTTCTAAGGACTGATATACTTTACTTAGGCTAGTAATCTTTGGAAAGCAGCAATATAGGCTGGGCGTGGTGGCTCACACCTATAATCCAAGCACTTTGGAGGCCAAGGCCCGCGGATCACCTGAGGTCGGGAGCTCAAGACCAGCCTGACCAACATGGTGAAACTCCGTCTTAAAAAAAAAAAAAAAAAAAAAGGGAGCAATATAATTACATTTCTTTTAAAAGTACTTGTAATTCAGACTTTTACTAGCTTTCCACTTAATATGACTATTTTGTTTTAAAAAGTTTTGTGGGCCGGGCGCGGTGGCTCAAGCCTGTAATCCCAGCACTTTGGGAGGCCGAGGTGGGTGGATCACAAGGTTGAGAGATCGAGACCAACCTGGTCAACATGGTGAAACCCCGTCTCTACTAAAAATACAAAAAAAAAAATTAGCTGGGCATGGTGGCGCGTGCCTGTAATCCCAGCTACTCAGGAGGCTGAGGCAGGAGAATTGCCTGAACCCAGGAGGCGGAGGTTGCGGTGAGCGAGATCACGCCATTGCACTCCAGTCTGGGTAACAAGAGCGAAACACCGTCTCAAAAAAAAAAAAAAAAAAAAAAAGTTTTGTGTTTTTTTTTTTGATTGCAGAAATTTACTACAATTCAAGACATTGTTTAATATTCTTGTGCCATGAGACTCCATCAGGCTGTATACAAAGTTCACTGGGAGGCTGAGGATTACTAAAGCCCAGGAATTTCAGGCTGTAGTGAGTGTCAAAGGGCCACTGCACTCCAGCCAGAGTAAGGGAAGACCCTTTCAAGGGGTAAACTGCATGCTTTCTTGCTTGCTTGCTGTGGTCATTAAAAACTGTAGTTTTTAGCATAAAAGATCTGCCTGCATTTCGTCAGGCATGAATTCTGAGTCCTTTGCTTCTTTAAAGCTTGCTCCAGGCCGGGCACAGTGGCTCACATCTGTAATCCTAGCATTTTGGGAGGCCAAGGTGGGTGAATCACAAGGTCAGGAGTTTCAGACCAGCCTGACCAACATAGTGAAACCCTGTCTCTACTAAAAATACAAAAATTAGCCAGGTGCGGTGGCATGCGCCCATAATCCCAGCTACTCAGGAAGCTGAGGCAGGAAAATCACTTGAACCTGGGAGGCAGAGGTTGCGGTTAGCCAAGATTGTGCCACTGCACTCCAGCCTGGGCAACAGAGCAACCAACTCCATCTGAAAAAACAAAAACAAAACAAACAAACAAAAAAACTTGCTCCACACAGTGTAGTCAAACCAATTCTCCATACCTTTAGAAGGTCTCCAAACATCTGCACCCAAGCCAGCCATCCAGGGATAAAAACGTTACCAGTAGCTGGAATACAAATGAGGACTTCCATTAAAATGCTAAATATCATTAAACTCTTTTCAAAGTTATCTGTCTCAGGGTTAAAAATTTGCTTTAATGGAGACAAGTGTCTCGCCAGGTTGCTGAGGCTGATTCTAAACACCTAGCCTCAAGGGATCCTCCTGTCTCAGCCTCCTAAAGTGCATGAGTCGCCATGCCCCACCCATTTTTAATCACTACATTTACCTGTTATGACTAGTTACAGCTCTGAACTTGAAAGAATGCCGGGCTAAGTCAAGCAAAATGTGTCTGCTTGGCAAAAAGGAATCAAAAATAAAAATATGCATATAAAGAAAACGTGGTCAGGTTCAGTGGCTCAGCCTTGTAATCCTAAAGAGGCTGAGGCAGTAGGATCATGTGAAGCTAGGAGTTCAAGACCAGCCTGGCCTGTTTAACATGGCACTATTCTGGCTCTAGTAAAAATACAAAAATTAGCTGGGCATGGTGGTAAGCACCTGTAATCCTAGCTACTCAGGAGACTGAGGCAGAAGAATTGCTTGAATCTGGGAGGTGAAGGCTGCAGTGAGCCAAGATTCTTCCACTGTACTCCAGCCTGGGTGACAGAGCAAGACTTTGTCTCAAAAAAAAAAAAAGAAGCCGGGCGCGGTGGCTCAAGCCTGTAATCCCAGCACTTTGGGAGGCCGAGGCGGGTGGATCACGAGGTCAAGAGATCGAGACCATCCTGATCAACTTAGTGAAACCCCGTCTCTACTAAAATCACAAAAAATTAGCTGGGCATGGTGGCACGTGCCTGTAATCCCAGCTACTCAGGAGGCTGAGGCAGGAGAATTGCCTGAACCCAGGAGGCGGAGGTTGCGGTGAGCCGAGATCGCGCCATTGCACTCCAGTCTGGGTAACAAGAGCGAAACTACGTTTCAAAAAAAAAGAAAAAGAAAAGAAAAAGAAAATGTGTCACTTTTTTTATCTTTTCTGGCTAAAAACTTAAAAAAAAGAAAAGCAATTAGAAACTCATAATTACCTTGTTTCTTTTTAAGATTTTTAGTTAATATGGTTTGTATTCAGACATACTAAAATGAAAAGAAACACCTCTGAAGAGTAGCATATTTGTTTGCTACTTTGAAAAAACCAAAATGCTAGAAGAGGGGTTGTTTTTTTATCTAGTCTAATCTCCGCTTGGAAAATACTACCTATACACAGATACAATGAAGAATTTTCCTTTCTTTTTTAAATACGGACAGAGTTTCAGTGTTTCCCAGTCTGGTCTCAAATTTGTAGGCTCCAGCAATCCTCCGTAGCCTCCCGGAGCGTCGGGGTTACAGGCAAGCGTGAGCCATCGCGCAGCCCACAGTGAACGTTTAACCGGCAGGAAGAAACACCCGTGTAGAAGAGAATGTGTGCTTGTCACCTGCCTTCCGGAAAATCAAACACAGGCACAAAAGATTCTTCTGCTGCGCGTCTGCTCTTGCCCTCCGCGGGACCCGTCTACAAGGGTGTTTGCAGGGAAGTGTCAGTCCCACCTAACGGAGGTCGCCTGCTGAAATCGCCTCGCAGGGAGGATTTTTTTCAGGGAAAGATTCTCGTTCGGCAATTCCGACTTACTCACTCTTTTGCAAAGTCAGCTCGTTGTTACACAAACTTTAAGAGTAAACTTTGAAGGTGGCGTTCAGATAGCACATCCTAAATTGTGTCTAGATTTAATGGACACAATATGCACTTGGTTTTTCTCCTAATTTGCCACAGAAAACAGTCAGCAGCTGGTCGTTTCAGAAATCACCCTTCTGCCGAGGCTTAGAATTTTTTTATTCCAGGGAAACGTGAAGATTGTGGGGCGCTATTAAAAAAAAAAAAAAAAAAAAAGACAACCCACAGGGCGTATCCGGCCACGTAACGCAGTGTCTCGGCTCCACAAAGCCCTGGGAACTGAGCGCCCGCGTTGCTCGCCCTACCTGCCAGGAAACGCGGCGCCGCTCGCAGAGAGCCCTGGAGCGGGGCGTTTGAAAAGCCCGTTTTCCCGCTCAAGCCCCCCGACCCCTTGACGGCGAGTGGCGGGGCGCAGCGGCGGCTCCGCGCGCCCCGCTTTCGCCGGCTGGGGCCCCGCTTGGCGAGCACCCCGGGGCCCCGCGGGACGCCGGCCCGGCCGCGCCTCTTCCTCCGCTCGCCGCCAGGCTGCCCTCGATCCAGAACGCCGGGGCGTGCAAGCCATTCAATTCTTTGAAATAAAGGAGGGCCGCCACGTGACGAGACCTGAGAAGGAAAAAGCGGCCGAAGCGATGGGGTTTCACTGAGACCCGGCGGAAGCGCCGTCCCTGCGGCGCCGGCCGGGGCTGAGCTCCCCGAAACCCCGCTGGGCAGGCTTTTCCTCGGGTCCGCGTCACGCGCTCCCTCATTCTCCGCCGCAAGGTTCCTTTCGCCTCCGCTACGTGAAGCCAGGAGGGAGGCCTCCTTAAACCGGGGGTCTTCGCCCAAAAAGCCAGGGTCGCCCCCCGGGAAGGTCCCTATTTAGGGGTTTATCGGGAGGGGACTGAGCCTGACGAGGCTGCAGGGCCGCGAGGCCCCGCCCCCCCCGGGTTCCCAGCGTGCCTCGCGCGGAGAGGACGCGGCGACGGGGGCGGGGCGAGGAGGGGGCGGGGCGAAAGGGAGAGAAGGGCGTCGGTTTTGCGACAGGGGCGGTGGGTTGCGGAAGCGGAAGTGGAGGGTGCGCTTGGCGGCGGCGGCGGGAGCTGCGGAGTCGGGAATCAAAACAAAGGGCTTGGGGGGGCGGGGGGAAGGCGGCGGGGCCGGAATGTGAGCGGAGGTGGGGCCGGCGGCGGAGGTGAGTTTGCAGACGGCGCTGCGGCCGGACCGTGGCTGGCCCTGCCCCGGGGCCCCAGGGCGGGCCGGAGCACGGTGTCCCCCCTTCCCCCGCCATGGCTGGTGGGACGGTGCTGGAGTGGATAGGTTCGCTAACTGGGGCGCGCCGGTCGGGCCCCCCGGAAGACTCAGCTCGTCTCCCTCTCGTGTCCGTTTAGTGCTGTCACTGCGGGCGCCCCTGTTACCCTCCGAGGGTGTTTGGCCCCCCGCCCGCCCCTGCCTGCCCACTGCGGGGCCCTCCAGGAGTGAGGTGCACGATTGGAAGGTTAAGGGGGAAGGAAAGGGGCGGGCGTCTTTGCAACGCCCTCCCGCCAGCCCGGGCGTTCTGCGTTCTCCTCGGCTTTTCAGCAGTCCCTGGGGTGTCGTAGTCCTCGCGTTGACACAGTGTTGAGCTGCCCTAGGGCTTCAGCCACTCTCACGAGCAGTTGTAGCGCGACCTCGTGACACACCTTTTAGAGTTTCTCGAGCACCTTTCCGATATCACCAAGAGCCGTCCAATGGCATTTGTGTCTTTTGCACTTCCCTGCGTCTCCGAGGGCTATTCTTACGTTTTGCGTATCGGCGGATTGAAACCTCGTCTTCCTAGATACTTGCTAAGCTTTATTCGTTCAACAGTTTTTTATTAAGATGCTCCAGGCGTTGATTGTACTTAGGGTAGGAGAGAGAAGAGTGAATAAGGAAACATAGTCCCTGTTGTCATGGAGTTTGTATTCTAAATGTGGGGAAAAGATAATAAAATAGCGAGCTAAAAAGGGCATTTTAGCCAGAAGAGCTATGGGGGAGAAAACGGTAATGGGATGGGGTGATGTGGGGTCGAGGGCTACATTGGATGCTACGGAAACACCATTTGCTAAATGTTCACCATGGATTATCTCATGTAATCCAAACAACGGCCTGGTAAGGTGGTTTCTATTATTATCACACCTATCTTGGAGATGGGATCTGAGGTTCAGAAAGGTGGTGAGTTGTGCCAAGCTGCACCGCGGTAGAACTGAGAACTAAAATGCAAACAGTCGACAGAGCCTGTGCTCTCAGCTCCTAACTGAATGGCTCAAAAAACCTGAAGAGAGTGACAAGAAGGAGACTGTCACTCCTCCAACAGAATCTGCTTTTGGCTACCTAAGTTGCTTCATGGGTAATATTTGGGAAATTTTGAGGGTGCAGGCACCTAACAAGTTTTTACATTTTTTTTTTTTTTTTTTTTTTTGAGACAGAGTCGTGCTCTGCAGTCCAGACTGGAGTGCAATGATGCGATCTCGGCTCGCTGCAACCTCCGCCTCCCAGGTTGAAGTGGTTCTTCTGCCTTAGCCTCCCAAATAGGTTGGGACTAAGGGCGGATGCCACCATGCCAAGCTAATTTTTGTATTTTTAGTAGAGACGGGGTTTCACCATATCGGCCAGGATGATCTCGAACTCCGGGCCACGTGATCGCCTGCCTCGGTCTCCGAAAGTGCTGGAATTACAGGCCTGAGCCACAGAGCCCGGCCAAGTTTTACTTTTAATCGCTTGTATTGAGCAGTATTTAAGGCTCCTTGGTGTAGCGAAGGGGTGAACAAGCCTAATTTTGGATCAGACTAGCTACAGTAACTTTATTACGTTTCTGTTTCCTCCTTTGCAAAAATGTAGCTAATTTCTTCCCTGTCTACCTCACAGAATAATTGCGAAAATTATATAAGTGGGTTTTTTTTCCATCATTATTTTCCTTGTACCAAGCACGGGCCTGCTGCATAGTAGATACTAAATAAATATTTGCTAAAGGAAGACGTAAGTCATGTTACATGAAAATGCCTTGTAAACTAGATTGTACTGTAAATGTCAGCTCACTTTAAGGATTTGGCTTTGGAGAAGTTTGAGAGACTGTTGATGTACACCATGAATATTACAGATTCTTATGATTTTGAGAGGAGCTTATTGGGGGCCATGAAACCTGTGTCTAATAAGAAAAATGAGTATTGTAATTTACTGTCAGTGGTGGCAGTTAAATCCATCTCTGTCTCCAAATTAACCACTCCCAACAGTGTGTGATCGGTAAATGGCATGCTTTATTAATTGAATTCCTCATTCATTCAACTACTGTTTACTTTGTATGTACTTGGTTGGCACAAGCGATATGGTGGTGAAAATAGACAGTGGGATTCATTTTATTTAATTTTGTTTTCTCTAATGTGTGACAGGGGAGAAATTAGCCATATTTTACATAGGACAAAACAGAAACTTTAAAACAAATTTTTGGCTGGGCGCGGTGGCTCAAGCCTATAATCCCAGCACTTTGGGAGGCCGAGGCGGGTGGATCACGAGGTCGAGAGATCGAGACCATCCTGGTCAACATGGTGAAACCTCGTCTCTACTAAAAATACAAAAAACTAGCTGGGCATGGTGGCGTGTGCCTGTAATCCCAGCTACTTAGGAGTCTGAGGCAGGAGAATTGCCTGAACTCAGGAGGCAGAGGTTGCGGTGAGCCAAGATCGCGCCATTGCACTCCAGCCTGGGTAACAAGAGCGAACTCCGTCTCAGAAAAAAAAAAACAAATGTTGCCCACGCTGAAGTGCAGTGGCACAGTCATAGTTCACTTCAATGTCAAATTCTTGGCCTCAAGAGATCCTCTCACCTCAGTCTCCTGAGTAGCTGGGACTAGGTGCTCTCTGCCACACCTTGCTAATTTTTTAAACTTTATTATTTTTTAACAGCTGTGATCTTGCTCTGTTTCCCAGGCTGACAAAAGAGCCAGATAGTAAACATTATAGGCGTTGTAGGCCATTCAGTCTCTTGGCAAAGAGATTCTCTTCACAACTCTGCAACTGGAATGCAAAAGCAGCCTTAGGCAGTACTTAAATGAATGAGTGTGTCTATGTCTCAATAAAACTTTATTTACGGACACTGAAATTTGAATTTCATATAATTTTGTTTGTTTGTTCATTTGTTTTTGAGACAGGGTCTCACTCTATGGCCCAGGCTAGAGTACAGTGGCACAGTCTCATCTCACTGCAACATCGATCTCCCAGGTTCAGGTGATTCTCCTTGAGGTGAATCTCAGCCTCCAGAGTAGCTGGGATTTACAGAAATGTGCCACCATGCCTGGCTAATTTTTGTATTTTTAGTAGAGGCAGGATTTCACCATGTTGGCCAGGCTGTTCTCAAACTCCTGTCCTGAAGTGATCCAGCTGCCTCGGCCTCCCGAAGTGCTGGGACTACAGGCATGAGCCACCACGCCTGGCCTGAATTTCATATAATTTTGTATGTCACAATGTATTATTTATTTATTTTTTTTAAATTAAAAATTATGCGTTCTTAGTTCACAGGCCATTTAAATACAAGCTGTGGGCTGATTTTGGCTGGTGGGCCATAGTGTACCTCTGCATTATGGGATCACTTCTGTACCTTCAAGATAGTACTCATATAATTCTCTCCCTTCTCCCCCCCATATAGATATTAAAATCTCTCAAAAATAACATGAGAGATATAACTAAAAGAAATTCTTTTTTATATGCCCAGGTGAAATTTTCAAGAGATAGTAAAAGTAATCACCTTAAAATGGCCCCTGTAGGTAATGGTGAGGAGGGCATTGGGACGTTACAGGGAGGACTTGGAAATGAGGCTCAGTTGTCTTCACCGTTGGCCAGCTATCTCCATGCCCATGCATGTATTGTTTTTTGTTTGTTTTTGAGACAGGGTCTCACTCTGTCACCCAGGCTGGAGTGCAGTGGTGCAGCCACAGCTCACTGCAGCCTTGACTTCCCAGGCTCTTCCCCGTCAGCCTCCTGAGTAGCTGGGATTACCAGCATACACCACCACACTCAGCTAATTTTTTGTATTTTTTGTAGAGATGGGGTTTTGCCATGTTTCCCAGGCTGGTGTGGAACTCCTGGGCTCAAGTGATTCACCCACCTGCGCTTCCGAAAGTGCTGGGATTACAGGCCTGGACCACTGTGCTGCCCCTGCATTTATTGTTGAGACCTGTAAGAGTGTTGTTGCCCTGGCGGAGCTGTAGCACAGCTGCAACTTGAGATTTTTCTACCAGTTAGATTTTTGTTGGCGTATCAGATTGCACTTTCATCCTTAGTAAACTAAGAAATTGGTTCAATTTGTTCTGTAGCAAATCAAATTCGAAGTCCACAGAGGCCCCTTAATTTTGACCTTCCACAAAGAAACAGTGTGAGAGGTTGCTCTTAAATCAATTTTAAACTCATACATATAGTTGTTAATGAGGATATGGTGATGGCTCTTTTTGTATTTTTATTCAAGACCAGCCTGGCCAATTTGGTGAAACCCCTCTCTAATAAAAATACAAAAATTAACCGGGCATGATGGCAGGCTCTGGTAGACCCAGCTACTCGGGAGGGTGAGGCATGAGAATCGCTTGAACCCTGAAGGTGGAGGTTGCTGTGAGCTGGAATTGTGCCGCTGCACCCCAGCCTGGGCGACACAGTGAGACTCCATCTCAAAAAAAAAAAAGATCTGAGTTGTTGGGAGCCATTGCACTACAAATAGAGCTGCAGTTTCACATTTTAATATGTTGTAAAATTTGTACTTAGGCAAGGAAATAACACTGAAATCTTACTCATTCTTAACAGGGTGGAAGAATGAAAGAAAAGAAAGATCAAAGAATGTTGAGTCACTTTGCATGGCTGTATGATGGAAGGAAACGAAACTGAGAACTCCTGCGGCAGAACGCGTAGATGGCTTCAACAAGATAATGATGC